CGACCTCTCCCCCAAGGGAGAGGTGGCTCTCGGCGCTCGCGGCTTTCTTACCTCTCCCTTGGGGGGAGAGGTCGGCGCGAAGCGACGGGTGAGGGGGCCTTTCTGGCCCTTTAGTATTCTAGCCTCCCTCACCGGCCTGCCGGGCACCCTCTCCCCGAAAAGGGGCGAGGGTTGGGTTTGCTGGAGCGATGGGGAGGGCGCGGCCGGGCCGCCTCATCCGGCGGGCCGGCCAGCGGGCAAAATCGCCGCATTGTCCTTTGCCGGTCCTGGTGTAAAAGCGCGGGACCGGCAAACCGACGGGGAAAGCGAAGGCATGGGCCTTGCGCGCGACATTGCGAAAGAGATCATAGGGGCGCTGGCGGTGCTGGCGCTGGTGTTTCTCGCGTTTGCGCATCAACCTTTGGCCATCGCAACCGCCGATGACGGGCTTTCCTATTCGGTCGCCGACCTTTCGTTCTGCGGTGGTGCGCCCGGCGATAAGGGCACCGGCCATTCGCCCTGCCACGCCTGCCGGGCCGGGCTTGCCGACCTTCCTGCGGGCCCCTGCGTCACCGAGCCCGCTTATGCCCCCTTTGCTTTGGCCCGGTTTACGCTCGCCGACGACCTGGTGGTCCGACAGCATCCATTTTCGCCCCACAAGTCGCGAGCGCCACCAGCGCCGGCCTGATTGAATTCGAATTTCTTTCAGACCAATCAGAGCTTTTCGCGGCCCCGGAGGGGCGCTCAACAGGTCCAAGTTTTTGTTTGTCGCGTTTCCGAACCGCAAAACTTTTCCCATCCCCGATCGGGTCGAGGGCATGCTTTTGCGGGACGCGCTCTAGCTGGAGATCACCGATGATCCATATAGCTTCCCGCGCGGCGCTTGCCGCCGCATACGCCCTTGCCATCGCATCGCCCGCCATGGCGCATATGACCTTCGAGACCGCGCAATCGGCGCCGGGCGAAACCTTTCGGGGCGTCCTCGTTTTGCCCCATGGCTGCGATGGCGCCCCGACCGACGCGGTGCGCGTGACGCTGCCCGACGGCTTTGCCGATGTGAGCGCCCAGGCCAAGGACGGCTGGGTGCTCGAAACGTCGGAACACAATGGTCGGGTGAGCCGGATCGTCTGGTCGGGCGGTTCGGTGCCCGATGACGGACACGAGACCTTTGCCTTTACCGGGAAGTTTGCAAGCGATTTGCCCGAGACCGACATATCGTTTGCGGTCGAGCAGATGTGCGGCGAGGTTTCGCTTGGCTGGGAGCCGGCGGTGAGCCTTGGCGATGAACCGGCCGATCAAGGGCACGATGGCGGCGATGCCATCACGGTTGGCGATCTGGAGCTTTCGGGCGCGTTCGCGCGCGCAACCCTGCCCAATGCCCCCGTGGGCGGGGGTTATGTGACGATCACCAATACCGGCGATCGGCCCGACCGGCTGGTTTCCGCGCAATCTTGGTTTTCGCCCGACGTGCAGATCCACGAAATGGCTGTGGTCAACGACGTCATGAACATGCAGCACTTGCCCGAGGGGCTCGAAATCCCCGCCGGGGAAACCGTGACGCTGG